AGAGCAGACCTTAAGAATGCTTATAAATCGTAGCAGCGTATCGAGGAACACAACCGAACTAAATGGTCTTGAATTCACTACTGTGACCGTCGGAGAAATCGCTAAAATGAACATATATAAGCGACCAGGAATCAATTGGTCAAACACCACCATTACCAACGATGCTTCACCCCACTGTTTATGCGGGCGACTTTAACAGCCACCATATTGCATAGGGTTATACTGCGAGCAGTGTGGTAGATGAACGACTAACCTAGTGGATATCACTGGCGGATGTATACTTATGCCCCGCTACTAAACAACGAGATACTGTTAGGTCAGCCAGATGGAAATGGCTGAAGTCCGGACTTCGGTTTCATCTTTAAAGACTTTAGCGCTATACCACTTCCTGATTCCAGGGCGTTGCTTCATTTCTGCGCTATTCTGTAGTGCTCCGAATTCGTAGGTACCGTTTGTTCAGTCCGCTCCACTGCTACGCAGGAACTTTGGTAAAGCAAACTGATCATCGTAACTGTCGGACTCAAAGACCCTATTCAACTGGCTTTGCCTGCTTCCCAATCATTTGGTATTTTTGGTCGAGTATAGATCTCTGCTGCGCCAAACAGCATCCCTCGTGGATACCGGAAGACCTACACCCCTTGTTGGTCGAAGGAGACAGAGGAACTTTACATGGAGTACAAGCGTCGAGGATCTCCTGAAACTGCAGCTCCTTTCGTTGAATCCTTGAATTCTGAGCAGCAGTAACGATGGTGTTAGACTGTGGAAACACTGGATTTCACATATTCAAGTCGCAAGGCATGGACACTGCTCCGCCACCTTGGCGCAGCTAAACCAACGAAAGTCTCCGCTGACGGCGTTTGCTGCTCACCTCCCTCCATACGTCTAAAACACCGTCAGATAAAGCCGCCCACAATACAGTGCAGAAGAAATTTTTTAAACCTTCGTACCTGCCCTGAAACGAACCCTCTCTCTTCCACTACACTCTAGAGGAAATAAACGTGACAGTGGTGGTCACAAAGAACAAGAAGACTGCTGATGTGCATGAAGTTTTTCCGAAATTTCTTAAGAATTTGGGTCCAAAGGTCCAACCATGGCTGACCTCTTCAGGGCAATCCATACAACGGGCAAAATTCCGTCCGCCTCGCTGCATCCCACAGTCGTCGCCCTCCAAAGCCAGGAAAATCTCTGGAGAGGCCAGACAGTTGTAGGCTTATCTTTGTACTGTGCACGGCCAGGAAACTGACGGAGCAAAATTTTTTGACGCAGCTTTCTCCTCTTATTGAAGCCCCTATCCCGGTGGAACAAGCTGGCTCTCGATCTGGGCGCGGTTGTTGCAGGCAATTGCTTTCGCATACCAGCTTCGAGGCAGGATTCCAACAGAAACAAAAAACAAAAATGGTTTTGATCGACCTATCATCGGCTTATGGTATAGCATGGCGTGATGGTCTCATGTACAAAGTCTCTAGAATCATCAGATGCCAGAAGACTCTTTGTCTCATTGCAGCCATGACTAGCGACTGCCGATATCGAATCCATATCGATGGGCAGGTGAGTAAGGAAAGGATCCTTAACCATGAATTCCCACAATGTGCAGTACTTTGTCCATCGCTGTTGAATAAACGAAAAACACGCGGCACCTCTTGGAGAGCAGGTGCCCGTGTGCTGCATACTGCGACCCTGGCACTCGGGTATTCTGTCGCGAAGTTTTGTTCCCATTTTTGGTGCCACAGTTGCCACACGGGCAAATTAGATATGCGACTCAATCGGGTGATGCGAATGGTAACAGGAACCTTGAAACCAACCCAAACACAGTGGTTATTGATTCTGACGCATACTGAACACCCTCACCTGCGGGTGGGCGAACAGGCGTATCTCATTTTCCAGAACATTGATAGGAATCGCGAGTTACCCATCCATCGTGTTCTCCAACAGCCACCAGCACGACGCCTGAAATCATCCCATCCACCATAGGTACGAGCAAAGACGCCACGTCTGAGGAGCGGTGGCGAGCAGAATGGGATTCGACAGCTGTCCATAACAAAGGCCTAATCTCCAACCCGGATGCAGAACTCCCTTGGGACATGGACTTGAATCACCAAGAATGGTCGAGACTGAGCAGGATTCGAACAGGACAAGGACGCTGTGAACACCTACTCCATCGCTGGAAGATGAAGTCCAACCCGCAGTGGGACTGCGGACATGAAGATCAGACTATGCAACATTATTTCCGAATGCCCACTTCGATGTCCAGAATGCTACTGCGGCGGCCTTTCACTGGCTGAAAAATCTTGACAATGAGCTATAAATGGCTAGTCATCTCCCACAGCCATACAACAGAAGAAGAAGAATAGAAGCGTTAGAGAAGACAGCGTTGAGTGGGGTGATCAGCAATTCTCGTTTAGAAACCCAAGAAAATTTTTCGTTGCCTATGACGAATGTTTCCTTTATCGGCACAGATATGCTGCTTGTCGAAGAACTACTGTATGTTGAAGTGAACGGAGATCACCACTCTAAAGCAGTGTGCATTTCTTTCGTGTCACGTCGATGTGATGATGAACTTAGACGAATTGCGTCCCTTATTGGAAGGAAATTAATTAGGCAGTGATGTGTGGCATTGTCACTGATCCATTGTGGCGAAATCATCAGTCGATAAGATTGGTTGTATCATGTAGCGGCTGGCAGGGAGACCATTTCGCTGCAACGCTTGCGTTACAAACTGATTCGTACCATCTGGCATTGAGCTTATTTAAGCAACATTTTTTTAGGTTGATCTGTCACTTCCGGTTACAGCTATTTATTGTCAGTTTCTTTCTATTCTTAGTCACTTACCGTTGTTCCATTGTACGATATCAGTGCGTAAATGTGTTTAGGTTATTTTTCGCCAGAAATACATATTTTGCTAAAACAGACCGTCTGTGACGGCTTGACATGGCGTGTTAAAGCTTATTTTATACAAGGCGAATTACGGCAAGTGAACTGTCTCTGAACATAAACACAGCGGGACAATGTTCTTGCACTTTAAACAGACCTGGAAACAGTATCTCTCAGCTAATAACGCAAATACTAGATTGTATTGGGTGTTTGAGATCATCACCTTGAGCCGTATACATCAGCACAACCTCTCCGGTTTGTGACGTTCACTGTATCCGTTGTTTTTCAGTACTTTTGTTATAAGGCATCGATTACTGCATTTTAGAAGGAAATACTGTCCGAAAACAGATTTGCTTCTGTGTTGTTCCTCCATGTTGCATACTTGTCTCCTGTTTGACATTACTGTATCGTCTCCCATACAAGAAACTCACAGACTAGAGTAGATGGCGCATGCTCAACGAGTTTGTTAAGTAGGGCCAACCTTATTTTCTCAATCTCTTCATCCTCCGAGATCATCTGTGTTCGAAGCAGCATGAAGTCATTCCTCACGTCGTCCTGCTATTTAATCCTAATTACGAGTCTGGCACAACGCTGCTGTATGCAGTTCAGTGGTCATTCTTGTTCCTTCGTTAGAACGACTGTAACCATAACGTACAACAGTACTTATCTGACAGAGACAAAGCACATTCGGATTTCTATGGAAAAGACACTCATTTCTCAACCCGGTTATTGAACAGGTTTCTAAATGCACCCGTGAATTGGATGATCCTCATATTTGACTCTGGCTGGCTGGTACCATCGTTGCAGATGATTTTATATTCTCTTCCACCTGTAGATCAGTTGTGCCGGATGGGAAAATTTGGAGGTTACCAATGATATCCCAATGATATCAGAAGATAGCATGATGAAACGTAATGCCATCGATGCTTTGGTAGAGAATGACGCAGTTCAGTTCACTTCCGATTATGGGTTCACTTAACGCCATATTACGCATAACTGTTCTCATATGGCAGTCCTGCAGTTACAAATGAGGTCTGTGGTAACGGCATATTTCAGCATGCGCGATGAGTGAAGACGCGAGCGTGATTCAGCTTTATTGTGGTGAGCGTCGAGGTACGGAGCTTATCAGTCGTTCCTTTTCTGCGTTGCGTTTCGTGCTGACTGATTTTAAAAGTCTTCTTTCAGATGGATCGTTATGATCGCGCTATTACCATATTTTCGCCCGACGGCCACTTGTTTCAAGTGGAGTATGCTCAGGAGGCAGTGAAGAAGGGCTCAACTGCCGTAACAATTGAAAAGCTTCATTAAGTGGCACTGAACCAGTTTATAATTTAGATTGGCGTTCGAGGACGCGACTGTGTAGTAATTGGTGTAGAGAAGAAGACCATTCCAAAGCTACAGGAAGACCGAACGCTGCGCAAGATCAATCTCATCGACGATCACATCGTGATGGCATTCGCAGGTAGGTCATCGATGATTTCAGTGTTAATTAGCCACGCCATGACTAACGACTAATATTTCCTGATGTTGCAGGTCTAAACGCCGATGCAAGAGTGCTGATTAATATGGCCAGGGTAGAATGCCAGTCTTGGAGACTGACCATGGAGGATCCGATCACTGTCGAATATCTCACTCGTTTTGTGGCGAATACCAAGCAAGTAGGTTCGGAGACGGGTCTTTTGGTTGTTTTCAATCTGGCTTTGATCGTAGTCACTTCACTGTAAAGACCTGAAAGCTCTGTTGCATGATATTTAAAAATTACGCATATTTTAAACTTTTTTGAACTGTAAAAGTTATTTCGGTTTCATGACCATAAATTTTTTAAATTTATGGCACGTAGTTCGCAAAACTTGTTTACTGTGTTATGGGTAAGGAACATCCACGTCGTTACACGAGAAAATTTTTGTGGAAATTGAGAATCTTCCTCTGACAGGAACAAAGCAGCATTTTAAGACAAGTGCATCTGTCTTTCAAGATCATTGTGACCATGCAGTAGGCGAGTTGCAACCAGTGCATTTGCATGCTGCTTATCTTCCAGTAGTAGAGCTTAGGAAGGATAAGCTCTTGCGTGGGGTGCGTGCATTCCTAATGCATTCGCTGATTGTTCTGTGCTGCAGAGATACACTCAAAGCAATGGGAGGAGGCCATTCGGCATTTCGACGCTTATCGGCGGCTTTGACTCGAACGGTCAACCGCGACTTTTCCAGACTGAACCTTCGGGTACGTTTTACGAATGGAAAGTATGCAGGCCAACGTCACACAAGTTCAGGCATTACAAGCTTTACTTTGAAGGCTAACGCGACAGGCAAGAGCGCAAAAACCGTTAAGGAATACTTGGAAAAGCATTATGACGAAGAAAACTTAGTGGACGAACACTCAACTCTATATTTCGCCGTCAAGGCGCTGTGCGAAGTGGTTCAGGCAGGCGCACCAAATATAGACGTCGCGTCGATGCGCTGGGACGCTTCAGCGCCCAAACACGTAAGTTGCAGCAACTGTTGGTCGTCACTGGATATTTTCATGCCATTGATTTAGGTGTCATTCAGGTTGCTTCCTTATGAAGAAATCGAAGTCATGGCAAAGAAAGTAGAAGCTGAGAAAGAAAGGGAAAAAGACGCTGATCGCGACAAGGATCATCATCAGAAAGCTTAGCATAAAATCTTGGAATTTTCAAAAAGCTGTTTAGCCTACCTTTAGCTTCTGTGCTATTGAATTGTTGACTAACTGAACTGCTGTTTGTCTGATGCCGCTGTTTAATAAAACGAGTGGCCGTAACTTTTTCATTGCTTGATTTTATGTAACAGACTTGTACGATAT